TGTTGAAGGAGGATGTGGAATACCTGGGGAAAAAAGGGCAGCTTTTGGACGTGAAAGCTGGGTATTTCAGGAATTATCTTTTGTCTATGGGAAAAGCCCAGATTATCACTCCTGCTTTGCTTAAGTAATTTTTAACCTGAACCTCTCTTCTTTTTCATATTTTTAATTTTATTTTGAATTTGTATTGCCCTTTTTGCTTTTACAATAGTATTCAATTAAGAAATTGAAGTGGGATAATTAATAGTTTTTCCCCTCAGGGAAATGAAATTGGAGGAGGAAAGAATTGAAGCAGAGAAGCAAAGGGTAAGTTCAGTGGTACATGTTTTGAATTTTTTATGTTAGCAACTAAGAAATATCATTGTTGTCATCTACTCCCATCCGGCTACCGAACATCTTAATGATTTGAGAATGAAAGAAAGTTTGCTATGTCAAAATTGAACCTTCCCTGATTGGAGTGAAACTTGTCATAGTTCGCTCTATGAATGTGTTTGCTCCGACGGGCTATGGTAGGGAGTAATATTGAAAAGTGCTTCTTTATGGTGTTGAGGTGTTCATTGTTCAGTTTAATTGAAAACTAGATCCGTTTGCTCCAAGCCGGTATACAATGAAGAAATTATGTTAATTTCGTTTCCACATGGTGTTTTATGTCTGTTTCCTAGCTTGTTGTTTGTGGTTTTAACAGAGTAATATGTTATATTCATGTCCGTGGACTGATGAATCCTGTTGGATGATCTTGGTTTACTCCAGGTAAAAGAAGAGGCACAACAACTTGCTGTAATATTCGAAACTGTTGGAGCTTTTAAGGTGAAGCGAAAAGGTGGAAAAGGAAAGCAAATTTTTGGAAGGTGAATAGGATCTGAATCCACACAAAGCGGTTCATATTTTTCACTTATCATACTTGACTCTGACATTCACTTATTTTTGTCAGTGTTACTGCTCAAGATCTTGTAGACATTATCAAGGCACAGCTTCAAAGGTATCAATCTTAAAACCTTTGGGGTTTAGTTGCTAACAAGCATCATAACTCTGCAATTTGTTCACAAAATTAATTTGCATTAAATAAGAGCCTTTTGCCTTAGTTTATGAATATGACCCACCATCCTTCTTGATTGCATCTGCGGTTACAGAGAACAATTGAAACAGACAGACCAATTCATATATTTAGTTTGGTTCGGTCAATAATTACGATTTACGAGAACACAAATCATTTGCGTTTTGTTAGTGAATTGTGATATTATAGAAGTTTCAGTGTCACACCTTTAGTAATGATATTAAGTTTGATTTCTACATGTATTTATAGCCGGATGAACAGCCTCCCAATTATGGATTACCATATCCATTTTTTTGCAGATTGGGATATCATATTTACCATCCTTGTGGATTCAGTTTAGTTATTCGAATTTCCAACGGATATTGCTATTTGATTAGGAGGATTTGGATTGATATTTAAAAATGTATAGATGTCCGGTCCGCCTTCATCCTTAACTATGGTTGCTTAATTTGTCAACTACTCTTGTGTTGATCTGTAGGGATGTAGACAAGAGAATTGTTTCTCTTCCAGAGATCAGGGAAACAGGAGAATATATTGCAGAGCTGAAGCTCCACCCTGAAGTTACTGCTCGAGTCAGAGTTAATGTTTATGCAAACTGAAGACAAGTTCCTCTCTGAAGATGTATGTGAGCATCCGAATCTGATCATAACATTGACTGTAAAGTAGGAGTCCCTTTTTCTTGAAGCTCGTCAGTGAAAACCGTTCTGTACGTTGGTTTTTAACAAAATTGTGCTAGTCGGTAGTTGTCAGTTGGTACCTTTCTTAGACAAGTAATTTAGACGGAGGCTTCAAGGAATATGAGACATTTTGTTCTAAAAAAGTTGACGGCTACGTTACTCCGATTCTAAGAATACATGAAAAAGAAAATAAAACTGGGAAAGAATTAAACATATCTGTAAAGCAGTGGAACATAGAAAGAGAGGGCACTTCTCTTCTCAACAGCTTGTCAATTCTACTTTAAACAGTTGAGCAATCATATCCTAATGTCTGATACGGTCTTCACGATCTCAAAAAATTCGCAATGCTGACTACTTCAGTTTTTATGATCTCAAAAGTTTTCTAATAGATTGTGTATCTGTGTGTTCTTTACTGGGACGGATGGTATTTACACGGTTCGGATTTTCTTAATTTTTTTATCCGATCCGGATTTGAAGAAAAATACAACGGAGAATGTTGCTGCCCAGGATCGAACTGGGGACCTTCAGTGTGTAAGACTGACGTGATAACCGCTACACCACGGCAACTGACATGCCAAGGCTGTATCTATTTGAGGCTTTGTCATCTCACGTCACCATCTGCAACCTTAATCTTTGCGTTTATCACGAAAATTTAAGCGAAATTATTTATTAATATAGCTGGGCAAGAAGTTCAGTAGGGGGTGATCAGATGAATAACAAATTTAAAGTTTCTCGTGCAATGTGTAGAGAATACTTGTTTAATAAAGTAAAATTTGAAGTAGAAATGCATGGCAAAGTAGATGGCATTGATATAAATTTAGTTTTCCATTCATACATGCTTTTCATTTGGTAACTACCATAACCGTTCAAGAAACCTAACTATACCAAATCAATAATCTGTATGAAGCACATTAGTTGGGCAACATCACATCAAAAGTCAAAGACTAACCACACCGGCTATATTGTTGGGTTTTATTTTGCTACTCTCTTGAAAATATTTTAATATTTTACCTCTTCTTTTACAATTGACCTTATTCAAATCAAATCAATACTTATTCATTTTCAATTTAAAAAAAAAAAACATTGTTTTAAAAGTCGAGTGAGGGAGTGGATCGATGAGATTTTGTTTAGGATTAAATTCTATCATTAGTTCATGTATATATAAAATTTATTTTTTAAGTTATCACATTTTAATTTAACCAATTTTAATCACCGTACTTGTCAAAACTTTAATTTTAATCTTGACTCAAACAATAAAGAATAATATAACTAAACTAAAGAAATTTAAAATGGCAAAATCAGAGGAAATGAATTAAATTTACAATTTACGTAGAATACTTACAATATCACTTGACTTAATATATTTAACAATCAAAACATAAATTTTAAAATATAAAAATTAAAAGGTAAAATACACAAATGATCCCCGATTATAGGATGTTTTGTTGAGTTCTTCTGCTGAAAGTTATAAAATGATATTCATCTACTGACAGGATATTATTTTTTCAAATCTTTCAATTATTAAAAGTTACAAAATAATCAAAAATATTTGTTTCCGACTATCAAAAATTATAAAATAATCATTAAACTATAAATCGTTACTTTGTTAAATCCCGTCGTAAAAACAAAATTAACATTTGTTTAGGGTTATTATTACTAAGAGCACACCAAAGCATTGTCTATAGTATTATTGGCATATATAGTTGTCAAAGTTAGCAAAAGCCTTGAAGCTTTGGTCACTTTCATGACTTGACCCAAAAAGACAAGAGAAAAGCACAAAAGCTGAAAGCCAAGAGATTTGGATAGCCATCCAGCTGTGAAGTTGAAGGCCACGTTAGTTTAAGAGATACATAGGCATAATCAACGGTCGACATGTCACTCTGTTGGACGACACCCTTAAAAAAATACTCTTTATCGTAATGCGTACAGTCTATTGTCATCAGCCATGGGGTCGGTTCCCATGAGATTTAAAACCCTTTTTTAGTAGTTTAGGTCTCAAATTTTGAGTGGTCTTTAGAAAATGTCACGTGTACTAGTATACCTGGCTGAATTATTTTGAATGATAAATGATAAACCTATTGGAAAAGCATTATTGATGTAATCGTCCACACAAAACAAAGCTAATTTGGACATGATCTCACCCAAAGTTTCCACACGATTTGCTTACCAACACTCACCTAAACGTACACTTAACAAACTCTATTTATGCATATATTGAAGTGAGTAAATTAATCAGCTCACCCCTCTCATTTCTTTCTTTCTTCACAAGGCACAAGGCCATGCCTTTTCAATTTCATTTCATCAAATTCACTAATGTCGATTTAGTTGAGTGACTTGCAAATTAAGGGATATTGTAGTTAGTTAATTAGGTGTCGGGTACTTCATCCTAATTATAAGTATTACTGTTAATCAATGAATATTACGTATTTCAACAATAATAATAGACGAGATTAGGGGCAAATGTATGTAGGGGTAGAGGGAAGTAATCACATATCTATTATTTCGAGAAAATTGTTAATTTAATTTATCAATGAGAGCGAGAAAAATAAAGAAATTTATATATCCATTATTTTAAAAAATAATTAAAGTTTTAAATTTCTAGATAGAATTAACATGCAGGAGGAGATGGGCTGGGAGCTTAAATCAAGGTATACCATTTAAAGTTATAGAAAAAATGGAGTGATCTATGAGGTGGGCAGTTAACAACTCAGCTTTGCTATCCATTTATTCCTTGTCATTTAATGAAACAGACTGTTGCGTGTACTGTGAGAGAGTGCCTGTGAGAGTGAAGGAAGAAATATATATACATATAATATAAGCATTTTTTTTAGCCTTATTAATGAAAATACAGAAAGGAAAAGAAGGGGGAAAAAAAACTCACGAAGTAAAGATAACCTAATCCACGACTTTAGTTTGTGGTGGTGCCAAACCCTAGATAGCCATTCCCCCATAATTCTTGTATGTACTCTCTTTTTTTGTGTTAGACATCACTCTCTCTTCCACTTTTTTAAAAAATGAAATTATCGGAAATATTAATTTATCTTTTTTTTCAGATAAAATTTTAAAGGAAGAAAGGCCCATAAAATAAAATACGCTTCCATCACCCACTTTTCGTGAAGGGAGGGCAACCTTGAACACTAACCACTTACTAGCTCCTAGTACTCAATGTTGAGTAGATCATCAAAAATAAAATTAAAAATAAAATCAAAGAATACAATTGACAGTTGTAATAATATTGAATTAAATGATTTAATTATATATGATTCATGGGGTTTTTTTTTTGTAAGTTAGTAATGGCAATCTACCAAAGCTGGTGTGGAGAAAACAATAGCTTGTTGGGGTGCTCCGAATTGGAACTTGGAATCCCGTGGATCATCTTCTGGTGCAGGAAGATTAAGATCCAGTTGGAGAATATTTCTAGGCTTGATTCCATCGCCATTTCTGGACTCAATTGGACTGCTACTAGTGTCAACACTCACGCCAGCTTGATTGCTTGCAGCCGCCCTGTGCCGTCTCATGTGGCCTCCGAGGGCTTGACCGGACGAGAATTCAGAGCCACAGATTGAACACTCGTGAATCTTATTACCCTTGTTCCCATGGCAATTACCCTTGCTGTTATTGTTACTTACTTGTAAAGTAACAAGTGCAGGGTTTTCTCTGTTGAGTTGATCAGCGTCTTCAACAACTTGATCTTTGACTGCCGAAACAAGCTGTTTTTTCTCATTCCCCTTGGGCTTCTTGTGGCTTGCCCTGTGCCCTCCTAGTGCTTGGAACGACGGGAACGATCGGTTACAAGTTTTACACTCGTACGCATAAGCTCCAGCCTTGTTTGTAGTCGCAGTAACCATCTCTCCAATATTGCTTCTTTTCGGACCATCACTCTGTGCTAACATGATCAAGCAATTAGCCATGTCTTCTTCCTCCTCTGTGCTCTCACCGGAAGTCACTGGAGACGATATTGAATTGTATTCCTCCGCCAGTCCACCGCCGCAAGCACTTGACGAGCTAGAAGTCACGGTGACACCGAACGAGGACAATGATCTTTGACGCTTGGTACGCTTGCCTCTGATGATCAAGATTCGATGATCAAAATCCTGTTGAGCTTCCATATACACCCTTCCCTCAAAAATAAAGAAAAATTGTGGTAAAGGCAATAAAAATGACGAGCCAGGTGACCTAACAAAGTAACAGAGTAGGAGCTACAGAAAACAAATGAATGAAGCAAAGATGGAGAGAGTAGTGGGGTTTTTATATATAGCCATAAGGGTTGCTGCTAAATTTTCGTTTATATATTGAATTTTTTTTGTAGTATTAAGAAAGCCGCCCCGTGAATAGTAACCATCGCCATTTGTTTTGGTTTTTGATTTTCAATGTGCATTACTATTAGGAATAAGAGGCTTTATTTTTACTTTTTTATTTTTTTTTAAGTCTTCATCATGATTTTCAGAATCGGACCGGTTAGCGAACCGGTCATGCTATCGGTTCACTGGTTCAACCGGTCGAACCGGTCGGAAGAACCGAACGACGTCATAATTATTTAAAAAATTCAATAAAAATATCAAAAATATTTAATAAAAAATAATTTTTTATATCACAAGTCATATTCAAAGCAAGTCATAACATATATAAGTTAAAAATCATAAAATTAAGTGAAATAAAATGATTCAAATTAACTACAACATAATATTTAAGGTAAAACATATTAAATAATAAATATAATTATATAACTATAATTAAAAAATAAATTTTGGATTAAAAAAATCATAACAAAATGATATTGTTTGGTTTAATTTTTTTTAAAAACAATCACACATGACTAAGAAACATAGAAGAGCATCCCAAAAGTCTAAAGAGTAAAAATATGAGAACAAAACAATCTCACATTGCTAAGAAACATAGAAGCGCATCACAACTAACTTCTATAAATAATAGAGGTAATTTGGCATTCAAAATCATAGAGCCTTTTGGTGAGCATTGAGTGAACTATTCTTTCACTTCAATAAAGCTCGAATTTTAGGCTTCAATCGAGCTTCTAAATTTTTTTTGAGTTCAAGCCTTTTTGAGATCAAGTTTTAATATTATATTTCGAGTTTGAGTTGAACTTGATAATTTTTAGCTTGTGAGTTTGAGTTGAGTTGAGCTTACTTTTAAAGTTTTCAAGCTCGAGTCGAGTTCAGCAATACTCGAGTTCGACTTGGCTCGTTTAACAAACGACGTTGTTTGGTTTAATTTAAAAAAAAAACAAAAATCCCGGGTTTTCTCGGTTTTTTTCGGTTTTCAGCCGGTCCGGTTCGAACGGTTCAGCGGTTCTGAACGGTTCATTAATAACGGTTCAATCGATTTAGATTGAACCGGACTAAACAACTGTTCCCGATTGAACCGATCGATCCGGTCCGATTTTCAAAACAGAGGTCTTCATCACATAGACTAATTATACCCTTTTTCCTTTTCTTATAGGTTGAAATAATTTCACTACCTGCAAACAATCATTTTGGACTAATGTTTGATGCACTCATTATATGTATATTTTCACATTATAACTATGTTCATCGTTAGAATCAAATTTAAAACTTATGATGCTGTATCGTCATGATTTATTGATGGTATATAATATTGATACATCAAATATTAAAAAACTAATCATACATTTTACATTCAGTTTTAATTTCAACATATAATTTGACCCCTGATTTTTTGTTTGGGGTAAATTTAATATGTTATTTGACTATTGTTCTTTTAATTATTATTTTTATTTCATATTAGATTGAAATTTTAATCATTATTCTAAAATTATAAAAAAAAATTATTCAAAGGCCAAACTACATATCAAAGTAAACTTAAATGAAAAATGTATCAAGAAATAAGAGATTAAATTACATTTTAATACCAAAGTTAAGATCAAGTTTTAATTGAAAAATAAGAATCAAAATACATATCAAAATTAAAATCAAGGGTCAAAAGATACATGAACCCGATATTGATTTATATACAAATTAAGCCTTGATTAACTAAAATCTTTGGTACTATCTAAGGCTTAGGGAGGGAGAAGACAAGTTTAGGTAGAGGTTAGAGTTGAGAATTAGGTGGTGTTGATAGGGTGCTGAGTGAGGACACGCAGTTCAATTCATGTGGTGTTAACTTTCTGGCACACAGTTTGGCAGCCAAGTTACATACCACCCAAATTAATTAAAAAAAAAGTCATTAAAAGAAAAGACGGTAATTAGGGTTAGGGGGGCAGTGCCCAATCCAACAAGAAAAGAAAGGGACACAACTCATCAACTGTCAAATTGTGAAGGTTGCATATGCAAGTCAAGTGGGCTTTTGTTCAAGTATGTTTACACATGGCTTCTATGACTATTTCCTCTTTACGCTTTTTTTTTATTCCTCTATTTACTTTGTGATTAATTTCTGCATTTTTCGTCCACCACACACATATATATATACACATAATAAAAATAATTTCGCCCCACCACATCCACATGTTATATACAATTTAAATACCAGCTTTATTCATTCTAATTCTATTGGGTTTCCTTACATTTCAAGTTCTAGATTTAAGATACCACCATCTATTAGTAGAGACTGATAATTTTTAATTTAATTAATGTGGGTTTAATGTTTATTTTACACTCAAATAAGTTAGTATATTTAATTTACATCTAAATTTAAAATTAAACACTAAAACAATTTAAAAAAAACAAATAGATCTTTGTTTACATAAAAGTTTTCGTATAGATATTTTTTTTTGGTAACAGTATAGATATCTTTATTCAAGTATAGTAAAAATATTTAATAAAAAAGGTAGAGTAAAATAGATATTTTATTTTAAAAAAGAACATATAAATTTTACTTAAAAAGAGTAATAGTTCACACAAGAATTCATTTACATTAGTGTGTATTGTCATACATTTTTTACGAACAATATTTTAACAATATTCAATTTATTAATATATTTATTATGTAGTCAAAATTTTAAGTTGATTTTATATTTTTATTATATTAATTTAAAATAATATATTTATTAATATATATTTAACGGTTGGATTTTTTACATATAATAAATAGTTATGTATTTTTAATTTACTCAAAATACACACATGATATATGTGAATAATATATTAAATTCAAGAATTAGATTATTAAAATATATTTTACACAAATATAAATGAAAACTTCCCTTTTAAAACCCAAATATTTTTTTTATGTAGTTGAATTAAAATTTAAAAGCCCAAATGAGCGTAAGTACACCAAATGGAAATCCTAACATTGATGTCATTAACTAACGATGTTAGGAAAAATGTGTGAAGATCAAAATTAGTAATATCTCCTGTTTGAGGAACGCCTAATTCTCATGGTTCTCGCCCCACATAATTAATTTGTCTTAATTTTTCGTAACACTTACATAACTACTACATATATTTTATTTATTCTTAAAAATATAGTTTTCCGCTATAAAAGAAAAAGGAAAGAAAGGTTCAATGAACATGATATAGCAAAAGCGGTCTGATTCTTGATGTTGTTAGTTACGTAAGGCACGTAAAGGGAGAGTAACACTCGTACACTTGTTTAAATTCATGAATTTTAAGAAAAATAATACTCTCTCTAATTACTAATGTTACTTGATAGGTTCAATCACGATTATTTAATTACCTTTTCTAATACTTGATTTTTTTTTGGAGAGGTTTATTATTAGTTTAGAAATTGATCTATATTATAAAATATTTTTGTTAGTTCTTAATATAAACGTGTTAATTGTTATTATTTTGATTCATATGAGATAAATATAAGATAATATATGTTCAAAAATAACTCTTAACAATTGAACATTGAACGCTTACACCCTTGGCATTCTTGGTGCTCGAACTTGGGATATCAAATAACAACAATAATTCTTTTATAACCGAGATCACTTGGTTCGTACATGTTAATTATTTTTAAATACATAATAATATGGAGTTAATGGTTACTAAATAGTATTAGTGCGTATACATACCTGTATCTGAAGAAACCCAAACCGATGCAAAGGGCGGTGGTGGAGTCGATGCCTTTTTTGATAGTTAGATACAACCCGTGTGTTCCGAAGCACAACTCTTCCATGTTCAATAAATATAAAAGTTTAAATGACAATATCTGTAATTTGTTCTCCTTGAGGCTAAAAGCAAAAGAAATTAAGAGATTTGGTAAATTGAGGGATGACTTGTAGTAGCAGATATGATGCTTTTGAGAACAAGTCATGACTAATGGGTGAAGCATGAAGAAAAAATAAAATAAGGGTAGCGGTAGCTATCAAAATCAAAGTCCTTTACACTCAAAACAATGACTTCATGCCAACTCCATCAGATTAGGCTTCACGCCGCCGCCGCTGCTACTACTACTCTTCACACTTGTTCCTTACCTGCGTCTCACAACTGCCTCATGATTCATGCCTTAAACTTCAAAATATATGTATTTTGAAGCAAAGTAATTACAATGTAATATCTATTCAAATATTTTCTTTATCTATTAATAACGTCATGTGCATAGCATACACATAGCATCATACATGCACATTCACAAAAAGAAAATAAATATGCAAATAGCATTTTCCATGCTTGTTTGGTCCATGTTCTTGCGAGCTTTGCTAGGTGGTCTACCTACCTGTATATTTATTCCAACCAAATGATCTAGAGCGTCGAGTTTTCTTCTGGGTTCATGATTTCATTCCAACTCACTTATCTTCTACGATGTGTAGTTCTTTTATTGTCGGGTTTTCTTCTACCAACTAACTGGATTAAGTAGAACATTAAAATCCTCAGTGTCACATTAAAATATCTTTAATATAAAGTCAAATATTGCATTTGGTCAAAAAAAATAATGCATTAACCCCCCGTAACATCCATATTAAAAAGTTTATGCTGAGATGAGATCTGCGTTGACATGTTCAATTTAGTTTAATTATACAATATAATTTAGTGCATACCATCTTATAAAAAAAGAAGATAAAAAGTCCAAGGCGATTAGGGAATAAATCATTTATTTGGAATTAGATGAATTAATTAATAGTAAAGATCCAATCAGCAACTAACATAGATGCGACATTAAATTATTCTTTTTCTCAAGTAGCATTTGAAGAAAAGCATGAAAATGGATCTAAATTATAATATAATTAAAAATGTAGGTAAATTACGTGACCATGAATAAATTAAGAGAGTTTTGAGATCCAAAAATGTTAAGCCCAAAAGAGTAGGTTTTCAGCATAATAGGCTGCGAGTGCGAGTCTTGGTGGCCCAAATATGATAATGTATTGCCCAAAGCTCGAATCCGATGCTAAAATAACTTACTTTCTCATAATGTGTCCATGTTTTTATTTATTTCTTTTGGATGCCATATAACCCATGAATTCTAAAATAGTTGCCTTTTAAGGCCAAATTTACAGGATTATTATAGTCTCCAGGTGGACTTGGGCAGGCAGCAGCAATGCATAATGTTCCACAATTTCTAAAAAGCAACTTAATGCGAGTGAAGCTGAAATAAAGCAAGCGACAGCGGCAGAAGACCAAGCTGGTTTCATATTGGAGTCAAGCCCACAACACCTGCATGTACATTACCAAAACAAGTAAACATGAGATGAACTTAAAGTTTCTATATAATGTTTGCCGTGAAGTTAGCTTTCATATGAAGAAGATGATGTTATATGCCTGGGAAGCATTTCAGACATGCATGTCAATGGTTATCTGAATCTGTAGGCACAACCGGAGAACGCATAACTGATACTGACACTGCAAAAGGTCCGATATTGAAACCCTCCCACGTTAATTTAACATCCCTTTCCCTTTGCATATACTATTGAGTCACTAGTCTCCAAGTAAATGCTAAGGTACTAAATTGGCACAAAGCAAAAGGATCGAAATTATGTCCACTAGAGAGAAGATCGATACATGGACCGCATTTCATTCAAAGCCAACGGCATACAACTAACTCATACGGTAAAGAGTCGATCCAAGACATTTCCAAGTCCTTCTAGCAGTTGTCTACACTTCTAAGATACTGCAAATAAAATGAAAGCCTTGGGAAACTGGTAGAGCAAGCTGCAGACTGCAGAGTACTCCAAGTTACTAATGCATGTTTTTGCTTAGCTAAAATAACCAAAGAACAATCAAGCAAAACATAGATGCAAGAAAAAGAAATCAGAGATGAGTTTGGAAAAAATATCAACTTCTTGTCTACTCTGAGAACATATAGATTGAAGTGCTTGAAAACATACCACATGCCAATCTTCCACCTGCATTGCCGGTGGTTAGACTAAGTTCATGTCCACCTGCAGATGCGTAAACAAATAGCAATATAAAAAAAATGGAAGTTGGAAGCAAATGCCATGTTTTGGAATCAAAACCAAAACGTGTCAATGACTAATTGCATCATCTATGATGCCACATGTAAATTTAAACCAAAAGAAATTTATTTATACGACCAAAATCCACCCTCCTAAACATGACTAGCTGCTATAAGTCTCCCTTACCTGACGAAATTAAAGTAAGAATCGACAACTTATGGGAGAAGTTTCCTCACAATGCAAAGGTGAGAATTGTAAGCCAAATAAATAATTACCCTTTCCAAGGTCATCTTCAAGCTCATGAACGACAAAAGCTCTTCCAATAACTGCATTTGGGCCGCTCAGTGGTATCTGCACGTGAAAGTCAAAATTTAGTTTCCATAAAGGACTGAGAGCCGTCTCGCACCAAAAAGGAATCTATGCATGCAAAGACACACAAGGGAATATGCATGTATTTAGACTTGCACAAAAAGAAGAATGGGTTTTAAACAGCACCTGCTTGTCCACCATTGTTGCCTCTGCAACTCCTGCATCAGCAGTCAAACATTAAGCAAGGAATGAATTTAATTCTGCAAAGATAATTTAGAAGACAAAAGAATGCATTACCATCAGCATTAGCAACTATGTTTCCCAGGTCACCCGCATGGCGTACTTTGTCCTCAGGAGAACCATGAGTCATACTGTTAGGATTAAAATGTGCTCCTATATTATAATTTAAAAAAAAAGTTCAGAAAAGATATATATTTAGAACTATAACACAATATGACCCTAAAGAATGAGACTCAAATGCAATAAATTCTACCTGTAGATATGCATCCATTTGTTGTGTCACCATACTCATGCTACAAAATGAAAGATTAAAATCATAGATGTCAAAGAACTTCTATGTGCTGAAATCCACAAAGAATGAGCAGCTAAAGCTAAAATCAGTTTATCCAAAACAACAACAACAACAACAAAACCCTATTCTCATATACAATGGGGTAAGGGGTAGGGTAGTAGGCTGCCCCCAACGCATAGTTGAGAGCAGCTTCCGTGGAAGACCTCCGGCAGTCAGAAAATTAAAAATAAAGATAAAATGCAATGCATGTATAAATAAATAAATACATATTTGAACAGTCTTCATATGCGCGCTTCTGTAATGGGAAGTAATCCCTGCTAATAAATCCCTGCATAATAATCTCTGCATATAGACAGAAGCGTAAGACCCGACTAAAATTAAAAAGAGGAAACATGAAGAGAATGATACACAGAAGTTAACGATAGCAAGCTACGAGAAGGAATAAAGTCAAATGGGTTAAAACCTAAACTAAGACAACACTAATCCGCTATCCTAGTTCTAAGCCTTCATTAATTCCAATGACAGAAACGTATAAAAAGTAGAAGTCATAGAAATTACAACAAAGACATTAAAAGAAGACAGAAATGTTCCACCCTATGGATGTGACCCGCACTAATCGGCTACCCTGGTTTAAGTCTCCATACTTTCCTATCAGAGGTCATATCCTCGGTAAGGGCTAAATCCTTCAAATCAGATCTCAATCAGTTTATCCAAAAAATAATAATAATCTAGAAACACTTACTAGGTGGAACCCGTGAAGCCCTGGAGTGAGACCAGTAACTCGAACATTCACAGTTGTAGGACCTATTTACAGTGGAAATAAGTAAGCACTCACAGATGACAGCAACACTTGATTGACAAAAAACATTAGACAAGTATAAACTCTTTCTTTTGTTCAACAATATAGTTGAGTTTCCATACTAAATAGCAAAGTTAGAACATGTAAAGTTTCACAACGTCTTCATTCCCTAAAAATTCATATATAAGAGGCTAGACAGTTGTATCGGCATTAACTTTAACTTCAATATCAAGATATTTAATACAGCACCCAGGAAATACTTAATACATATGAATATCAGCTCGAAAACAAGAAAACAGAGGAAAAAATGTGCTAGCAGTTGGCTCCAAAAATCTGTCATTGGAAACATTGAAAAAAATAATATTGGTCCACAAGAAAGCACACCCTTACCATAATTCTATCAAACCTCACAGCATCAAAGTTGGAAACGAATTCATCAATAACAAATATTATATTTATAAAAAAAAAAACTCTTTCTTTTGCTTCTTCTCCTCAAATAACCAATGAATTCCCCCAATAGAAAGCTACAAAGCCAAAAACCCGAACCACAGGTCAACAGATTTATGAGAATAAAAGTAATTATAAAATATTAATAAGAAAACTGACCATCATCTTCTTGGGTCAAAGTAACAACGCCTTCAACTTTGGATTTGCCTTTAAGAACCGCGACTGCTTTCTTGGATGCAGCAAGCACGGAAAACTGCTGCTTGGGAACAGCGGCAGCAATGGAAAGGGATTGACGAGGGAGCTTGAGAGAGACACCGCGAATTGTGGATTGAAGAAGTTGTGGATCTGAAGGGTTAGTTGACGGTGGTTGAAGGAGAGAGTGGTGAGATGGGGTTATAGTGAGAATAGCGTGGGCTGCCATGGCTACTACTACTGCAGCTTGCATTTGGAGAGTGGGTGAAGAGTGACGATTACGATGCAGATAATATGATCAGAGGTTGTCGTGGCTGCAATGCCCCCCCGGGATTTAACTAGATTGTAATGTGTTTGCTTAAATCATGTATTATTTGGAAAAACTACTTTGGATACCATTCAACTTTGTCTGTAGTTTATACCATCAAACTTTTTTTTTTAATTTTTAAAACTAAACTTTGATTTTCGCTTAAGTTATGTCACTCCTTCTTTAAATCAATAACGATACGCTGACATGATTAATGGGACGATGATGTGGTTGTCACACCCAAAAAATCTCTTAAACTAACATTTTAATATTTTTTTAAGCAAAATGACGTCGTTTTGGACATCGAAATAGTTGCACTAAAACTACGTCATTTTAGTGTGGTAATCATGTCACTGTATCGTTAGTGACAGGGGTGGATGTATGTGGTCTTTATGGGGTTCAATTGCATACCCATTATTTTAGAAAAATTGTTAAATCCAATTTAATATATTAAGACGAATGAAAAAAAAAGAAATTTGCATAGCCATTTTTTATAGAAAATAAAATATTAAAATTTCTCGGACCCTCATTTTTTAATTTCTACTAGTTAGTGATTTAATAATAGAGTAACATAATCGAAGTGAAAATTAGAGTTCAATAATAAAATTGACAAAATCAAAAGTTCGATAATATAAACAATCTATGGTTAAAGCTCAGCGGTATATGAAGTAGTTTTTCCTTGTTATTTTATAATTAAATTGGCTTATGCTAAGAATAGGGAAACACACCCCAAATGTCACTTGGTTATATTCAAATAAGGGTAAATTACACCATTCCTCACTGTACTTTACTCTCTCTCTTATTTTGCTCATTATACTTTCAATTTTTCTAATTTGCTCACTGAACTTTACAGATTGAATCATTTTGTTCACTATCTCTCTAATGTCGCTAACAAAAAGACTGAGGATGCCACTGTCGACCATCGTAGATGGTGGTCGTTCGGTCTCAAATTTCATGGGTCGCTTCACCTCGACACCGTGAGTCCGAATGCAACCTCCATTTTATCGGAACTTGCTCCGAAGTCCACAATTTTGAGATTGAAAGTGAGGAAGCCGAAATGTTTCAATCCATATTCATAGGGTTTGGGATATTTTCCGATGAAATACCCACCAGATTCGAACTCAGGGAGTCGAGATGAACCGACTCATAAAATTTGATATCGAACGACCACCATCAACGACGGTGGACGATGATCAGAATGAAAATGACGTGGTGGCCGACGGCATTTCTTGTGCCATGTCATAACACTGTTAAACAATTAACGGCAAAGTGAGCAAAATGATTCAATTTGTAAAGTTTAGTGATCAAATTAGAAAAATTGAAAGTACAGTGAGTAAAATAGGAGAGATAATAAAGTACAGTGAGGAGATGTGTAATTTGCCCTTCAAATAATTTTTTTAGTTCTTAAACTTTAAAAAAATTGATAAAATAATCATTAAACTTGATGGTATACATATCTTGTTTTCTTCGATATATGCGTATTATACTCTCTTGAATCGTAATTGACCACTCAAGATGTTTGAGATTGGTTTTGCTAAGTTAAACTCGGCAGGTTGGGTTTGGATATCATCAGTGTTGAAAGGATTGAATGATGATTGCGAACACTTTGAGAGCTTTCCTCCTGCTCACTTGTACACTAGAAAATCAAGAGAATTCAGGAGGTGGTTCTCCGACTCCATTCCTTTTGTTTCATATAATCCGCTTCTTCTCACACGTGCGTTTGAAAATGTAAGATTGATTAATTGCAGCCTAACAAACATTTGACACTTCTTTTTTTACTTCCATTTTCTGTCATTTTATCTTTACGGCCTACGGATTATAGGTGACATATTCAGAGGCTGTGACCAAAAGGTTGATGACTGATGTCCCTTTCGGAGTTTTGCTATCCGGTGGCCTTGATTCATCGTTAGTTGCTTCTATCACGGCTTGGTACTTGGCTGGTACCAAGGCTGCCAAACACTGGGGGAGTCGGCTCCATTCTTTCTGTGTTGGCCTAGACGTTAGTTCTATAGCATAAGATGACACCTTGACGTATAGCTTTAAAAGGCCGATTCGATTGTTCTTAAAATTTGTTTGTCGATTTCTCTGCAGGGTTCACCCGATCTGAAGGCTGCAGACTATTTGGGAACTGTCCATCATGAGTTTCAATTCACCGTTCAAGTACTGATTGAAGTTTTAGTAAGACATTTAATTCAAGCCTTGGTGTCTAATAATATTTGAACAGGCTAAATTTTGCTTTAATATGGCAGGATGGAATAGATGCATCTACCACATCGGAACCTATGATGTTACCACAATTAGGGCAAGCACTCCTATGTTTCTGATGTCATGAAAGATCAAGTCACTAGGAGTAAAGAAGGTTCTTTCCGGAGAAGGATCCGATGAGATGAGATTTACAGATTGATCAAAGAATGCTTCTCAATTTCAAGAATCAGATTAAAAAAAAAATAAAAGAAAAGATAAAGGCCGCATTGAGAAGTGGGTTCTTAGAATGGCCTTTGATGATGAGAGCATCCATATCCGCCAAAGGTCTTATACAGTCTTTTGTTTTCTTCGGTCCGTTAATTCTAAAGTTATAGTACCCAACTAACAAGTCTCATTTGATGCTCTGCAGCATCTCCTCTACAGGCAGAAAGAACAATTAAGCGATGGTGTTGGTTATAGTTGGATCGATGATCTCAAGGCACACGCTGCCGAACATGTAAAAACCTTTCTGACTTCCTTTTCTTATAAACCTGTTAAGATTTGATCAATTCCGACCATATACTTTCAGATGATTTCTGAAGTTATCTTACATTTATAGTTTTTAACTTTGTCAATAGCATTGATTACTGAGGCGGCCATCCTTATTTGCCCGGTTTAACAGTATTCATCTAGATTGACTGTCCGGGGAGGAGCTGCACTGCTAAAGCTGTTGAGTGGGATGCTGTCTGGAAGAACAACCTTAATCCATCAGGCAGGGCTTCCTTCGGAGTCCATCTCTCGGCTTATGATGCCGAGACCCTTCAAAGCAATGTGCCATCCAAGGTAATCGATAGTATACCAGGGATGATTGAAGTTCCAGGGGAGTTGCCGTACACAGTTAGTATTTTAGGATAGGGTTTACATTGTCCAAGCTGAATACAAATGTTTATTTCAAGCTCCATATTTGTCGACAAGTGATGGATGGCTTCCCACATGACAATGCATATTATGTTCATGCCAAGTGGATTTAGTTCATTGACATAGAGGGAACAAAAAATAAGAGACAAAATTCACATGGAGGCTTATCAAATCAAAATCAAGTTTTGCCGTCTGCAAACTTCATCAAATCAATTCCCATTACAACTAGTTGGGATATGATATGTCTGCAAAACTAATAATAAAAAAAAAGGCAACAAAGCTTCGGACACTTGTTTTAACGACAATAATAGTAGGTCTTAATTTCGTCATTTTGGGACCCCATCCTTTCCCACAATGGAAAATATGTACCATTGACGTTACAAAAAAGAGAGTTTATCCTTTAGCGTCCAAATGAGAAAAGGGAAAGAAATAGGACAATTTCCTTCTTAAAACCCTACGCTGTATGGTTCATTTTATTTCTTCATCCGTCACTATTAGTAGACTATTCATTAGCAAATATCGTTTGGACTAATTTATAAATGGAATCAAATGCTGTCCGGCCTTAGTTCAATATGGGCTCAATTGTTTCAAAAGCCTTCAATCTTTTGAAAATAAATCAATTAAGTCATTAAACATTTTTTTCCATTCAATTAAATTTTTGTATTTTAAAACTTCATCAATTCTCCCCTTTGATTAACATTGAACATTATATCTAAAAGTTTTTTTAGATCACTTGGTGTCATGTGTCATATCACGTTATTGCTACATGGTATCTTTAAAAACTTCACGTTTCGGAATCACAGTATTTAATGAGTGTTAAGGACTTGATAATTAGAATTAATTAAAAGAATTAATTGTTTTACTTTTTCAATTTAAAAACTAACTTGATTTAATTTTTAATATTATTGATAAAGTTAATTAAAATAAATCTCGTCTTCTCCCAATAGATAACATTATCTATCTAATGGATGATAGGGCTGAATCCGACCTTTGCTCTTTCATGATTTGACATCTGTTGTGTTTTAGATCTTAGCTGTAATTAAAAAATAAATTACGAATAGCTATTTCTTTGTCTATTTCCTGATAGGGTTTATAGCCGCCCAGATTTCAGCTTATCCACATCCTCCACAAACTTGTATTAGCTAAGCATCATCCATTTTGTTTTTACAGAACAGATGAGTTGATGGTTTAATGTTACATAATTCGACAAAACCTGTAATTTTTTTTTTCTATTTCAAATTCTAGACTGCATAGTTTTGTTGGATACTCTTAATCAGCTGAGGAGATAAGTAAATCACAAGTGTTTCCCTAACCAGGGAATTACCAGAAGAAATGAAGTAGAACAAAACAAGAAGTAGTGTGCATTAATTGATAACAAATTAAGTGATTAAACAGGTGCATCAAGCTTGAATCTTTGCAGACCAACTTTATAACCTAGAGTCTTGGTGTCGTTTAGCACTTGTTGCTGGAACTCGGTGTACGTAAAGGGTTTGTATTTAGAACTGTGGACGACGTTGCCTTTTTCTGGGAACACAAAGTAGCATACGGAGACTCGCTCCTCCTGCTTGTTCACTCTCACTCTATGTTTCACACTCATGTACTGGTCGTCGCTTATGGCCTATATTTTACACAAACCAAAAATACATTTATGTTATAAAATATTGAATAGTCTTCATGAATAAGATTGCAGTTTGATTTTAGGGGTCACCTGCATCATGTCACCGATATGGACTAGAAGGGTGTCTGAAATTGGGTTAACCAGGAGCCATTGATTGTCCTTGAAGATCTCGAGTCCCCCGACTTGGTCCTGGTTCACAATGGAGAGCAGTGAGCTATCAGTGTGTTCCATCATGCCCAACGACTTGTTTACCGAGGACCTCGATGGGTATCGGTAAAGACGTATGAATCCAGTCGATTCATCTAAGCTACA